TTTTCTGTTGTTCTACCTTTGGTTTACCTGTAAGTGCTTGATTTTGTTGCAATTTAGTTAATTGTTTGAGATTGGTTTTATGTCACTTAAGAACACACATTTAAACGCCATTTAACTTTTTCAATGTACCGTCTTAGCGAGTTAGGTTTAAGGCAGGAAAGGAGACGTGTCTGTGTAAGGGTATCTAGAGGGTATTGCTAAATGTCTACAGCGCACTAGCGCTTGACTGCTATCGCTTTCTGCAAAGGAACGGGGGATGGGCAGCGAGCAGGTGAGCGGAACACGGGATTAATGGGACTTAATTTCGATCTCCAGCTGAATCGCTTTTCTGGGAAACCCGGAACGAATATCGACTTATGATGTGCGCGGGATAAAATTGCTCAGCCTTAATACTCAGGTGGGCCAGTCCTCCACATCCAGTTTCAAGGTCGCACCAGACAATCTTTCCCTTAGTGATGAAAAATGCACAATGGACAAAGTGCTGAGTTTACTGGAGAAGACATTGTCTAGTAAGGCTCAACTAACACACAGTCCACCTCAGAACAAAGTACGTAAGAACATTCGAGACTGTAAAGTCTGTGGCAGTTCAGACCACAGCACCTCTGCTCACTGCAGGATGTAAAAACTGTGTTTTAGATGTTACTCACCAGGCCATATTGGAGCTAATTGTAGCCAGTCAGCTCCTACTCAGTCTCCGAACCTATCTCGGGTCTCTCACACTCCGGGAAACTAAGTAGCTCCTTTTTGGCGGAGGGCAATGTGGAGCTTCCCTCCTGTGAAGATGATATTCACTCTGTGTTTTCTGCTTCTTGTGAATCAGCTCCGCCAGACAAAACTGATTTTTCAGAACACAATGAGAGTGACGGTTTGTTTTTCACTACTGTATTAGCAGGGGACAAAGTCGACATTTAGGGGATGCTGGATAGTGGGTCCATGGCCACTTCTCTGCGCGCAGATCTGGTACCTCAGTTGAGAGAGGCAGGAGTTGTGAATGGCGATTTAGTATCTCCTACAGACATTATTGGCTAGTGAGTTCATCCGTTTTTTGGCCAATTTGGAAAGAGATTCCGGACAAAGTGGGGACAGTTAGGCTAAAGAAAGCAGTAACACTGGAGCCTATGAGTGAACATGTTGTGTGGGGCCGTCTCCCCCCAGGGACTAAACTCTCGATTGGTAGTACTGTAATCGTGGAGCCAAGCTGGTCACGTTGCGCGCCCCGAAATAAACTAATCGGCAGGGTAGTGACGCCTTTGTGGGGAGATGGGTGGGTTCCTGTAAAAATAATCAACCCAACTGCTTCCAAAATCGCATTGCGAAGAAATGCAAAAGTGGCTGATGACTTCCCGTGCATTGCATTGGAGGATTTTGAGGAGGGCACCAAATGGGAGGGAAGGTAATCAGTGGCAGTAGTCATGGCAGTTTAACAGCGCAGAGCTCTGTAAGGGGCAGTGGGGTGAGTGGGAGTCCTAAGCTCAGGGATTTGGGTCTTTAGGAGTTACCAGTGGATGATTGTGAGGTTTCTCCAGTCTGGAAAGAGAAATTGACAGATTTGATTGTGAAGTATGTAAGCGTGTTTTCCAGACACAACTTGGATTGTGGGGAAGCTACTGGGTTTTGTCATCGTATTTGGCTGACCGATGACCGCCACTATTGATTACCTTCAGTCCACTGCCAGAAGTTGAGAGAGCCACTAGACGAAATGGAGGAGCGGGACATAATCAGGAAGTCTAGTAGTGAGTATGCTTCACCCCTGGTTTTGTGCTGGAAGAAAAACGGTGACCTGAGACTGTGCACAGATTTTCGTTGACTACCCGCACGGTCAAAGACGCACACCCTCTGCCTCATCAGGCGGGAGTTCTGGCGGCGATGGGAGGCAACGCCTTTTTCAGTACGCTGGACTTGACGTCAGGTTATTACAACGTGCCTCTCAACGAAGACGATAAGAAATACATGAGTGCAATCGCATGGCCCAGGGTCTTTGCAATGGCTCCGCGACTTTTATGAGGATGATGCTGACGATTTTTGGCAACCAGAACTTTTTGTCTCTGCTTTGTTATCTTGACGATGTGTTGGTTTTTGGCAGAACAGAAAAGGAAAGCTTGAAGGCTAGAACTAGTTTTCAAGCGTTTGAAAGAACATAATCTGAAGCTCTCCCCAGCTAAGTGCAAGCTTTTGCGAAGATCTGTCAAGTTTTTGGGGCATGTGGTTTCTCAGGAAGGGATAGCCACTGACCCTGACAAGGTACAAGCTTTAGTAAGCTTGAGGGAGGCTGATATCATGGAGAGTGATGGGGTCACACCCTCCACTAACAAGATTCACTTGTTCCTTGGCATGGTAGTGTATTACCAACATTTCATTGAGAACTGTTCTGTGATTGCTAAGCCACTCTTCCAACTTACCTGTACTTACTGTACGCAGACTCGCTTCTATTGATTGGACGACGGAGTGTAGACAAGCTTAACCAAGCTGAACCATGCTCAGTCTAAGTACCCAGCTCATACTTGAGTTCTTTGCTATGAAATGGGCCATTCATGACAAGTATAGTCACTGGCTGCAGGGGCGGAAATTTACTGTGTGGACAGATAATAACCCTCTCAAATACATTCTGACTAAACCAAGACTGGATGCATGTGAGCATAGGTGGGTGTCTAAACTGGCTCCTTTCAATTTTTGACATTCAGTACATTCCTGGACCCAAGAATACAAGAATACTGTGGCTGACGCCCTGAGCAGAGAACCTTTTGTGAAATGCAAGGTGATGCACCGGTTGACAAGAACGCCCTATCATGTGTTGTTGGAGGAGGCAAGTGGCGTCTCTTTGCCTTATGTACAGGACATGTTTCGTCTCTCCTGTGAGCAACCAAGGGTGGGGAGGCAGCCCCCACCTATCTCAAGTCCCTCTGAAATCTGTGGGGGTGGGAGTTGTAGTGGCGGTAAAATATCGAGGGAGGAAGTGTCTGCTGTGTTTGATGTGCATCGTCATTGGGATGATGGTGGTTCAGTGAGAGCGGCCTCTCATGTTCAGCAGCTACAGCAGGTGGCATCGATGGGTCAGAGCCCGCTGCCTGTGTTCACTCACGAGGAATTGCATAATATGCAATCTCAGGACCTTGTTTTGAGCAGAGTGCATTCTAAGCACCCTGTGAGCAAAAAGAACATTTTCCAGTATGTTGTCCCACTTGCTTTGAGGAGTCAAGTGATTAAGGGTGTGCATGATGACGCTGGCCACGAGGGGCAACAACGCACTTTATGGCTCGCCAGGCAACGTTTCTACTGGGATACAATGTCCGATGACGTCAAGTTGTATGTCACACAGTGTAAGAGGTGTGTGTTGAGCAAGGCTCCCGGCTTCCAGCAACCAAAGAAGCCAGAGCCCCAATGCACTCATGTCGCGTTCGTCACTACTGCACCACTGGAGTTAGTATGTGTTGATTTCTGGTCAGCAGAGGTGCTAAATAACAAGTCAGTTGATGTTTTAGTAGTTACTGATCATTTACACAGGCTAGCCTGTGCCCGTCCCTGCTCAAACAAACTGGCTAAGACAGTCTCGTCTGCTGTGGAATAAGCTTCTTTTTGTTTATGGATTCCCGGCACGTCTTCATTCCAGATCAAGGAGCTAATTTTTGAAAGTGCACTCATAGCCGAGCTTCTACAGTTGGCGGGTGTGTTGCAAAGTCCCATACCACACCGTACCACCCCTATGGGTAATGGGCACCATTTTCTGATGTTTGGGCCACACTCTTTGTTTGCCTGTCGAATGTGATGTTTGAGGGTGTTTCTGTTGGATGGAGAGACTGTCGATGTTGACAATCATTCAGTCTCTGGGGAAAGA